ATAACCCAAAAAAATTATTATTTCCACATGTGTAGCTTTCTAACACCACTCACATCAGTCGAAGATTCCCATTTATATTTCTCGATGGATTGTTTATGGATGAATCACACATGTACTTGGCATAAAAAGTGAATATATCTCAAAACGGACTGTAGACATAACTTCTGCTCCTTAAGAGTTTTCAAATGCCGGAATTCTCTGCTGGCTGAGCTATGTGAGTTTCCTTGAGATAACTTTGTATGGATCATTGACTAGAGAACAAAGTAGTGCTTTTGCTTTGCCATACCTTATCCGGGCGTGTGTGCAGATTCTTAGGTTCTTGGGTACAAATATAGAATTATGGTCTACTTCGTTATCAGTACTGCTCCATAAATAGACTTAATCCTCTAATTGTAGATTTGTCACGATGTAATTACCTAATCTATAAGATCTTACGTGGAAGTCATATTATTATCTACACCAGCTCATTGCATCGTAACAATCATCAATATATAATTAAGAATACCCTTGGGCTGGAGATAAGACCATATATTTAATATGAATAAAAGGTATATAACAACACTAAACAATGAACACGCCTGCAAGGCTGAGCCATGCCATCCCATCAATTCTGGCACCGGAAAAACCTCAAACTATTTCAAAGCTGCCCACCGTCTCGTTTAAGCGACGTGAAAAGGCCTGACAAGAGGCCGTCGTTCCGTATTTCAATTGCCGCGGGTTTGCTGAGATGCATGATTATTAGATTTTTTGCATTTAAGTAGTCTTTCGCTGCATTAAAAAGCACAAAATAACTCCTAAAAGTATTAATTTGACATTCTCTGTTTTGTAGTGTACACTTTGGCTCTATTGTTGCTTCGTAACTTGATCTGTCGTCGCAACTACTGTAGTAAATTTCAACGCCTTAGTACATTTTTTTGATAAGGTCCAGAAGACAACGTAACAAAGATGAGATAAACATAAAATTTACAGATACCCAAAGTTTGTGTGAATCGCTGTTAAACGCAAAAGTTATAAACGAAATGTCAAGTCATCGGTAAGTCTTAAAAATTTGAAGTGCTTCCTTCAGTTAGTATTGTTTTAAGGAATAACCTATTTTATAATAAATTATTGCCGTTTGTAGTGCTTCATGTTCAAGTGAGATTTCAGTCGACGCACGCGATGATTTTCAACGTATTATACTGAACAATCGTTCGCAAGCTAGATTGAAGAATAATCATATCTTTTCTCAGACTACCCATACTCAGTATATTCACACATAAAGGAAATTGCTGAATGATGTTAGATTAAAATATCTGTTCGTGACGTTTAATTGCACATTTGGTCATAAGCGTAAATCAGGTCTGACAATAAATCAAAAGCCGTGAGAACTTTAACAAAAATGTGACGATCAAGGTCTGAGTTTCTTGAATGCCAACCAAGTTTCCGCGTAAGGTTGGAAGAACAAGGATATGTCATCAAATAACACAAGATGCTTCACAGTCATCCTTGTAATAATTCATGGGTGGTTTGTGACCCATGGACCAGGAGATTGTCGTCAGAAGAAAAAGTGATTTTGAAACCTGTTATATTGCAGTCCCAATCAATAGATGAAGTCATATAATCTATCAAGGATAGAACTGGTGTGCAGGTCACTGCTACTGATGTGAAGACTATGAAAGCTTAAATCTTCACAGGTAAGTATATAGAAGTGTATTTCATGTTGTTTCACGCGAAAGCAAGTGATCGATATGTTGAGACAGAAGGGTGAATGAGTGAACATGACAGTAGGCAATACGAAACACAGTTATCGTAAACTTGTAAACTGTTTCTCCACATGATCTTTCACAATCATAAATTCCATAAGTAGTTCATTGACGTAGACTTTATTAGAAAGCTTTTAGGACCTTCAAAGCTTTATGCAACTCTGAAAACAAACCAATCAGCTGTGAAACAAACAACTAAACTTAATTATCACCATCAAATTCAATAATTCAATCAAATCGTAGGTAACAGAATGTACCTATAAGTGTCTCACTTGTAAACGTTGCTCTTCATTTTTTAGTTCTTCTTAAACTTTTACAAAGTCATTTGGTATTAACAAAGAAACTGCAGGCTCTGAATGAACGTATTCAAAAGCTTTAACTACTTATACGAAATATAGGGAAAATTTAATTACAACGTTCACAGTACTTTTAACAATTCCATGTTCACATATAATAATAATATAATTGGTAAGCACTATTCAGATATCTTTCGGCAATGTGCATTAAAACTTTGTTTAACTTTTGGTCAGTGATTTCGGGTTCCGTCAACAGAAATTCATTTGTTATCCCTATAACAGACACATCATAAACCAGTGTTAATTACAACTTGGTTTAGTTACCATGCTCAACACAAACATGCATCGTTCGACCTATGAAGAAAATGTGATTGATTAATGTGGCAGTTCTTTGCTTTGACCTACATTTTACAAACAGCTATCAGCATCCAAGTTCAACACCACCATAATTAAGGAAGTGAATAAAATGCAAATGGTTCCACAGCTCATTTATGCTTAAAACTCTGTTTTCAGTCTATTTGTGACTTGATAAATGGTGAATTTTATTAGCCTGACTTAGCAATGCTATGAAGAACCACATTAAGCGTACTAAACATTCACATAGGTGTTCAGCAACAAGTATGTCAAACTGCTAATAAACTGAAATACGTCATGTAACAAGCACAAACAGTACGAAAATTGACTTGAAGCAGAAGAAAACTGATAATACCTGATAAATAACGACATCCCGAATTCCCAGGTAACATGTTACATGTGCGCGAAAACACAGCGTGCAACGGCCTGGCTGTGCCATCAATTCCAATTACTTGGATTCATTCTTTCCGCCTTCTCTATCGTTGGCATTTTCTCCTCGCCAAATTTTGAATATCTATTTCCTCAGTCGTCTCCTGTTCAGCTTTGAGTTTTGTGAGGTTAGGGCCCAACACCACTACACATATTTGCTTGCTATTGTTCACGAGAACTAATTGGTTTGAGTTTGAATATTTGGTCCCGTAGTTGTTACACGTAACTTTCAAAGTTAAGCTCTTTCTTTGAGTGCGAGGATCAATAAACTTACCCGGTAGTCTTAGAGTCGTTCCGAAGACTAGTTTCGCTGCTGAATCAGTATTGACAGCTGTTTCTGTTCCCAACATAAGAAATCCTATCCACTGACAGCGGTTTTAGTGTGACGTTAGGGTAGCCTCTACCTGACGATGTAAACATTCTACCATCCCATTATCTTGAGGATGATATAAGGTGCAGCGTGTTCGGTTGAAACTTGGAAGTTGTTGAATATCTCAAATCCAAATTCGGCCCCTCTATCAGTTGTTATTGTAATAGGTGCACCAGAAATGATTACTCAGTTTTCAGTGAAAGCTTTAGCCACTGTTTCAGCCGCGTTTTCTGTTATCAGTTTTGGCTATTAGAAACCTTGTGAATCTGTCTACGTGTGTAAAGAGATAACTGAAACCATTAGAACGCACTGAAGGGCCCACAAAACTGATATGAACATGGTAAAAACGTTCATCTGGCTGTGAGAAAACGTCGATGGCGTCACTGCCGCCTTAACCATGTTTAAGTTTATTTTGACGGAGTTTGATTAGTGCGGAGAAGTCATTATTAGGTTTCGTAGCACGTTTTTCCTTCACGACTGTTTCTGTGTACGCATTGCATCTGCCTGGATAAATATTTCTGTTATCGTAACTAAAGGGAAAAATCATTCAGGTTGTGGGACCTAGTACAATGCTTTTGCAGACGTCTTCGCGTAGAGACCAGTATATACAGATCTTTGAAAAACTTGGGTCTCCGATATTCTAAAGGTGCAGTTTTGTTGAAGATATTTATGACGTTTCGATAGAATATTTTAGTTAGTGTGTCTGTATTGTATAGAGTAAAGCAGGTTCCTCAATCAGTGCTTCTTAGGTAATTTTGGAAGTTTTTCCAATCGACCTCGTGATAGTCTCTACGAAGTGTTGTAGTTTTGTGTCTACCGTTTGTGGTTTTTATATTAAGGCTTCATACTACCTAAAAAGGTTTTCCCAATATACACAGTGTTAGGAGTGAGGCCACTGGTAAAATCTAAGCAAAAACTAAATATGCGTTCTCAACAGTGATTGTCCGTTCCTTCTGCTTCATGTGAAGCAGAGTACGATGCCGCCAAACGCACCCTTCAACCGACCATGCTTTTGGTGGCCGACAGATGTTTGCTACATGGCTCGACTCCAGACACAACTTACGCCTAAGAATAAACTCTCTTTTTTCTTTTAGACCATTATCTTTAAACTTCTGGCACTGATCTAAACAGTGACTCTATGATCACTCTAAACGATCCGAACTACGGTGCCTATATCTGTCATGTAAGGGAACATTGTCATCACTTGCACTTGCATACACTGTCCTTGTTGCATTACGATCTAAACTAAATTTCCTCTTTACAACGCCAACAGCTCTACCGTCACTATTACTACTGCGGTTGACAAGTAGACTATGTCTGCAAACAAACTCAATGAGATCAACAGACAAAGGCCCTCAGCTTCCTTTAATAATCTTGTAGCTACCTTTATCTACTCTTGTTAAACGTATGTCAGTAGTTTCAGAATCATAGTATCAATAGTTCTGCAAGAGTTCAAATCGGATACGTAATCCATCTGCTCGAAAGTCAGACCACATGCTTGCATTTCTCGAGACAATCTTCTGGCACCATCTGGTTAATTTCTTCTCATATCATGAAAGTTTAAAGAGTAGTTAATAAACTTGAGTGCTGCAACGTATGGCATGAACAACACTACCGTACACTTTAAAAAAGGAGCCGAACAAAAATAGAGATATTTATTGAAAATAATCATCAAGTTCAGGCCAGTCTATTACCCTTGCTACTCCGTAATAAAAATTATATCATAACTGAACATCGATGGATTGTATGCGCCTTGTCTATTTTGGTGCGTTACTCTGGCACCAAGATTTCTCTCTAAATGTCTAGTTTATGATTGGACCATATTTATTGGAAATGATGTTAGAGGTTAAAAAGGCATTTATTAGCTTTCTCAGAATGAACAATGATTCAAGTCCTTCTGATCCTTTCAAAACAACATGTTCACATGGAAATGTTCATGTAAACGGACAATATCCTAGTCAGTTGCCTAACAATAGTGTTATTCATACAGAAGACAACAATAAAAACAATGAACATGGTCCTCGTCTTAGTTTCAAGCGGTTAACCTTATCTGATTCACTTGACCTAACTGGAAATCGCATCCAGTCGCATTTGTATTCCAAGCTTGATCCAGAGGCGATCGAACTTGACCTAATGTGTGCTGATAAAATTTACTCTGCAAAAGAAACTTCAAGTAGTGGTCATTTATTTTGTCCCGTCCCACTTGATGGTGATACCTTTTGTGATCATTGCAACCAACCTATTTGGGAATTTGGTTGGCGTCCAGTATGCTTAAAGTGTGCAAGTGAGTTCTCATAATTTATTTAGACGCCTACAGTTAATCAATACACAAAGGAAGTCTTAACGGCACACCGTATTTTACGAATTTTCCCATGAATAGTCAGTTATTATGGAGAAAACGGTTATTACCTGTTTCAATTGTCACATCTTAACAACTTGGTGCATATACACCTTGATACATAATCTTCTATACCACTGAACAACTCTTCTTATGCTTCTGTGCACTTGTTTGCGTTTGTTCAGTGTGGTCAGCGATGCACTAATACGATTGGAGTACGCCCGAACTAGTCTCGGTGAGACTATATTTTATGGACGACCTTTGAGCGACGCTGAAGTGACTTTGAGGGTAGACACCTACTGATTAGGACTAAATGAGGGTTATAAGGCAGTTAGGATTCTCATATACATTTGGTGATTAGGGTTGAAAACTAGATTTAGGGTTTCCATCACGAACTGACAGCTATAATGCCAAAACTCTATTTGGCCAAATGTATGGATAAATTTCGCGCCAAAATTCGTGACTTGTTATTTTATATCTGATTGGTTCGTCCATAAATCACAGTTTCGCCCTAGTTCCTTATTTATTTGGCTATGTTATGCGGTAGTCGGTCTGATAGTGGTATACAAGTTTCTGAAATGCGCGTCCAAACCAGCTACTTGATTGAGAAAACTAAGAATGAGTGGGAAGCTTATGTTCGGTAGCTGAGTTGAAAAAATGTTTACAGCTTATCCACAAATAAATACCTATATCCCTTATGAAATGAAGTTATATTTTTAAACACTAGGGTATATCTGTCTCAGTAAGTTAAACTTATCAACATATGTCACTTGTCATTTGGCCTCTGTCCGATTTTCCCATCTCGTCACCACCATAACAGTCGGATAGCAGCAAGATTTCAATAACGAGCCTAAGATTTGAGAACAAGGCTATACTTCCAACTGTATGGCATAGTAAATGTTAGTGTGCTATACTTGGTCCTAGCTTTAAGCTTTAAAATGTATGGAGCTAATAAACAACGTACTACTCACGAGCGAAGTGTGTGTTATCATCTGTAAACAGTTATCCTTAAGGTTATCTAGTAACCCTTCCAGGTTTTCGATACCACCACTGACCCTGCTTCCTCTTTAGACACCTCAAAATCAAATGTCCTTTCATGATAAGGACACTCGGAAAGTGATAACTGTACACTACCGATTCGACTTTTAAAAAGGCTATGTATGTAATGCTAACGTTTAACACTTCATAATATAAATTTTATTAGGAGGAGCATAAAAAGAAACGTTTCAACGAAGTGGCCATTTTGTCAACCTTGTTTCTTGATAAACATGGAGTGGGATAAATAAAACAGAAGTGTTTATTCGTTGTTTTATCAGACCTTTAAAAACTGGATGACTACGGGATCGAGAAATTTCAGTAAACATGACGAATGCATACGTAAATTCGTCACCTAAAGATCCCTCAAGAAAGTGAATAGTAATAAAGAATAAGATGAATAAATCTGTTTTCGATTATTTCATACCTAAGTGGCAGAATAATGGGTATTAATAATAGTTTTGTTTCGTACAACAGGTACGAGTCTTATATCTTGAGTGTGTTGTATGTTAGTCTCAGACATTTGACACCACGTGAAATGCATCACAACTTTAATTTAGATTAGTGAAAAAACGGTATGATTAACTGATTGATCGTCTTTTTTAGCTCGTGTGAGCATGTACAAGACGTAAATACACAGTTTTCTATCGATCGCATCATATCTGACATCCTTTTTTCATACATCTTGCTGACATGAATTATAGGTTGAGTTAAAAAGTCTTGTTATATCACCTTGTTTGCCTTTTGATTACATTTCTAAAAGCGTAAATTTACACTGAAAGTGTTTTTTGGGTTTTCAAACATTTGTACTTTACAAGTAACCCCACTTTCACCTCTAAAATCAAACTCTAACATTCTATCTCTTACCAAAGAAAAACAATTAGCCAAGTAGTATCTTTCAGTACAAAATGAACAAAAGTGTAACCGTGTTGTGAAACTGATCCGTAACATACTGTATTTAAAACTATGTTGTATATTTATTTCTTCAGAATGCCACATGACCTGTCACTGGCTGTGTAAAACTGAGGTTACAGTTTTGTGTGATGAAGACTCCAAGACCTCTCATCAAGTTGCTGAATCAAATCTATTTCCCCCAATGGTTGTTTCGGGGAACGATTTAGAACAAGTGAGCACGCTTTTCATTTTACCACCACATAAGTAAATAGCAACTGTTTAGGAGTAGTTCCTTTATTTAAACTCATTTCATCCACTGTGACGTGTACTGTCAGTTTTACGGATCGCACATTGTTTTTATAATAATATCAAAATAAATCAACAACTTTTATCAAATTTTATATTGCTAGGCTTTTTTATCATTAAGCGAAACCTATTTCACATCATTTTGCCATAATCAACGTAAAGCCTTGTACAAATATGCATCGAACCAAGTTGTAATTACCAACTTTGGCACAATTATAATAAAATTAAGATGCATGCCAATGGGATTAGGAGTAATGCAGTTGCAATGATAATGAGAATTATTGAGCAATGAGAAATATGCGAGACTAAAGACTGATAATTTATGTTTAGTGGTGTTATAATTTCTCTTTATTACGACACAGCTACTCCTATTGCTTAGTATTTTTGGACCTCAGTTCACTCGACAAGTCCCCAAATATGAACACGGTTGAACAGGAACGAAATTATATTCCGAATACCAAGGGTAGATGGAAGTAGAAGTTACAATAAGAAAAACGTTAGTATATTTATAATTTTTACACGAGTAGATTCTAGAGTATTCTCCAAGTCTCCACTAGCTCTGATTAGACTAGAAGTAGCCAATCAACATGCCCCAACGCAATCCTTCACGGAACATTCTTTAATCCAATCTATATTCCGCTAACAAGTAGGATGTTAGAACTGAAGTTTTGGAGTAAAGATTGAATGTATATGCACTATGGTGACTGATTCCGAGCCATATTACCCAATTTCTTCGACCATTGATCACGGTTATCGTATAGATCCAAATCAGATAATCTGCATCTATCAACGTTGCCTAGACCAACAGCTATTTCATCAATTGATCCCACGTTTTGGTTTGAACGGTATTAATTTTCTTCCAACTTGCTCCTATATCAACTCACAATACTTGCCAAGGTAGACAGTATTTGGATATAAGTAAGGTATATTCCAACCATCTCAGTCGATGAAAACTTGCAATCTCATCTTTTCCTCATACCTTATGCCTAACCACAGTACTACTCACTCAGTTGTTTCACGATACATGAGTAATGTTCAAAAACTACTTATGTCCAAAAACTCTATAATACTTGTTTTTTACTTTCTTAGACTATTTTTCACAGCCTTAATTTAAAATGGGGCTACTTCATAGTATATTCACCCCTTGGTCAGCAGATATCGCGCACAATTCGCTGGTTACGTAACTTAATAAGGACCGAATAAACTTTCTCAGACTTCCTGTAAAACTCATCTTTTACTCCATCCAAGCTGTGGCCGTTGAGAGAATAGGCAAAAACGACGAAGAGACAACGTCATGTGTCCCTGTTTTTCCAAGTTCTTACTACACCGTTTAGATGGCTAGCATATAAGTAGTTGTCTACAAGGATTCAATCAGAAACTACCTGTTCTGTTTTCAGATTTAATGCTATACGTACGCTGGGAAGATCATAAAAAGCTGCTGTTACATTCCCAGATACATGAAGGGTGATTCTCACTGGATCTCTGCCTTGGCTACATAAGGTCAGACGTATAACTACTCTAGGATCCTGTATTCGTGCTTTGGAGAAATAGCATACATTAATGACACGAAATTCTCTGGTCTTAGCTAAGTCCTGTTGTCTGAATCAACCTAAGGTTTGGATACTGAAAGTCTCGATGTGCAGTTTGAAAAGTGGCCTTAGGAGAATTGGGATAGCAATTCATGAACTAAGATCGTTAGCGCTAGTGGCATGTGTGGAAGAAGTCGAAGACAAAAGAGAGTTGATAGTTGAAGTAGAAAAAATATTGTGAAGTGAAGTGGAGATTTGATTGTAAACAGGATTAACTTGAGCGCTGTTAGGAATATGAAAACAACTGTCGCTTCACAGTTTTTATCACTGTGAGCGGATGCTTCTTGAGGCTCCTGAAAATCGATTGAGTTACTAGCTCTTAAATTTGTTCTGCTCAATAATAGGATTATATGACACGGTGTATGTACAATCTCATTTTATTATGGAGTCGGTGATTTTTTGTCTAAGGGATACAAATATAACCATTAATTCTTTGTTGATTGTCCTTCGTAAATATTATACCACTGTTGAACATTAAATTGTGTAATTACAGTAAAGTGGAATGTCTTACAATGCGAGTATATCTGTTACCAATTAAATACATAAACAAAAATCTAGATTTCTTTTGAGAATGGTTTTGCATAATGTCTTCACTACCTGAAGTTTGGGATGCACATTTAAACCCCATCACACTCTTTTGGATCTAGGAAATTTGATAGTATGGTTAGTATTCGTACAACGGACTTGAATCAACGCTAAGTGCATAAAAGTGTATTTAGCTAATGAGTTGCATTGAAAATTAAGCCTAAACTGCGACAAGTATTTTAGTAGTACAAAAACGTTTTTAATCGTAGCCTATTTTATTTAGATTTTATTCGTCATCCACCTTTTGCTGTACTTATAGTGTAAACTAATATATTAAGATTTATAGTAAAACCCAGTTAGAATCCAAATTAATGACAACAATAAGTTTTAGTTTTCTAACTCAAGGAAAGTTATTCATGTGTGACTAACAATTAAGTAACTTTCGTTTGTCAATTGTCTCATAAATGTACTGATTACTGGATTTGTACTATTTGTACATTCTACATAATGACAAAGCAATCGTTGTCTATGGTTATTCGAGCAATAATCGGCTAATATTATTAGTATTTTGAAGTAACATTTTAGAGAATGACATAAATTTTTGTATGTTAAATAGTAGAACATAAACTTCTTTGAGTCTTCCGTTTTTGTAATCAGTTAATGTTTAGTTGTAATACAAAATATATATTTCCAACGTTTCAATCTGTTTTACTTCAGCAGGTTGACAGCTCAGTCTCTAAGTTATCAACAAGTCCGGAAAACGATAGCATTAATTATATGTCGTCTGAAGGAACTTTAGTTAAGTCTTCCCAACTGGATTTCCATGTAAATAATCACCTAACTTCTGAATCTGATATACCGTTATTTGATACTGTTTCTCCAAACGAATTAAATGGAGTGAATAGTCCTGTTGACAAAACGACTGATCACCTTGCGTTCGAAAGAGTTACTTTACAATCAATCTCTCCTAGTTCGAGTTAGTGTTATTTTTAATACTGCTTTGTTAATGTTTATTTTATCACACACTCCTTTACTAATTAAAAATGCTTACGCTAAAATGACTTAGCCACCGTAAAACTTATCGTCTTCACCTTAGTCATACGCAAAAATGTAATATATTACATCTCAGCTAGTCTGCATTAAAAAACTTCCCTAAACTGACATTAAATGTCTTTCATAGGAGGTTCACGCTTATGTAATGATCGAACCATGGATAAGCTAAGATAACTTTTTGACTTGTAAATGACATTAACTGATGAATTTTCAAAACTAAGACACCGTAAACTTTTCATGTTGTTTTTAGAACTTCCCACTATCATACATTAGTGATCTCTGTAGCTAAATCTATGATAAAACATTTTCAAAATCAATTTCGGGCTAAGAAAATAATATGCTATCATTAATTAATTAATTAATTATAATTTCACGATTCTGCCCAAACCTGTCTTTTGCCGAGTCTGTCAATAATATGAACATACGTCAAACGTAATAGTTTATAAAGAACATGTTTGGTTTCGGAATACGTTTTGGGAAGCGACCGTTTTGCAAAATAAAACTGTTTAGGTTATTCAGAACTTCTGATGGAGATTAGCTGCTCTATAAAATTAAGATGAGCAAGAGTATAAACTAATTAAGAATAAAACAGTGCAGAAATATAGTTTTGCAGGTATCATTACCAAGGTTTGACTTGATGATTTCAAATAAATTGAACTTTGGTTGGATTGTTACTGATAAAATTAATATGCTTGTAATATCCCAATGAGTAGAAAAATAAAATTTTCTGACATTCCATGGCCTAGTATAGGTCACTCCGTCATGAAATGTCAGAAAATTGTATTCTTCTACTCATTGGGATATTACAAATATATTATTTTTATTAGCGAAATATAAGGCTTATCTACCGTAATCCGATTAAGGACTGGTAATAGGGCACATTATTCGTACTCTTCACTTTGGATTATCATAGTTTGTGCGAAGATTGTGGCACTACTCGAGTTTATACACAAAAATAAGTTATTTCATTGATATAATTCACCCTTTGTTAGGGTTGAAAGCTGAGCTATCACGGGTTCCCATCATATCACCCTTAAAACCTTTGACGTGAAGATTTAGTTCAAGAGAATCAATTTTGTGTTTGACATTCTCGCCTATTGATGACAATGAATAGGACTTTCTTAAAAGATCGCAAACTTTTACGAGTATTTTGAGAGGTATTACAGATCCCTAACACCTTTGATCTTTCATGAACATTTGAATTAGAAATCGGCCTGTTTTGATATTATACTACTCGTTTGTCGTAAACAACTTCGTCACTACTGTGAACTAGGAATTTTAGAATCCAATGTGCGGAAAGACAAATAATTGTATTGATGTAGTTGTTTGATCATACATAAGAGTTTTTGTTCATGGAATTAACGTGTGCTTGTTATTTCCTTAACAACACTTCTGTTTTATGTGAGACGTTTAGTTCGTGGCCAGTTATAATCGTTTGTCAAGGTTGTCGACTTCCTGCTTTTTTGGTTCCAAATAACTTCTTTTTTGGCTTTGATTTCACAAAGAAGTAAACACCGAATTCATTGTAAGGTACAGGTTTTAATCTTTTTATTCTATTTGATTCACGCTAAAGAAATGGAGTTTTATTAACCGAACGCGTAGTTTCTGATTAAATTTATTTTTCTTTATTACAATCATTTCAGGTCAGTACACTTTCATGACTACAAACTTTAACACACCGTTAAACGTACCTGCTAAACTGGATAATGGAATATCAATAAAGCAGAAAGCTGAATGTTTATCTCAATCAACATTGTCAAGGCGTGCTACTGAGTTTTATAAATCGAAAACATCAGTTGATGTAAAGTTAGTCAGTAGGCATTCCTTTCTATGCGGAAATAAACCAAACGTTTGCCTAGCTTATGATTTTTCAAGCTTAGATAAGGAGGCAATTCGAGATCGAGGAATTCTTGTGAGACAACTAAGCCCATCTCTTACTGAATTACAAAACACTTCTAAACCACTTCAGAACACAAATATTATCTTAGATACCCCGAACTCCAATCCTTTTACACATTCAGATGAAAGTTCGTTTCCAGAAAAAGAAGTTTCGGATATTGGCCTTGCCAGTGTGATGCAAACAACTCAGGAATTTGTTCGCACCAAACAAAAACGAAGCTTTCAGACTCATTTACGTTCTTCAAATGCGCTTCCATTAATCCCTATGGTAGTTGGACCGCGAGCAATATTACCTTGGTCCTCTGATCGTTTGAAACAGTTAATTCAGATCTTTAGTGTAAATGAATTCGGATTACAAGCTGCTAGTGTAAGTTTGTCTTAAACTCAATACTCGCCATAATTATTGTAACGAATATTCGTTACCAAAGTTTTTAGCATGCTATATTTAGAGGATATAATTGATTGAGAAATCAGGTCTATTGCGAAATTTAAAAAAATCATAAACAACTGTTAGCCCAAGAGTTAAGTTAAGAGGTGGGATAAAGTCAAACTAAATATCAAGATAATAATGTAAGAAGTGTTGACAAAAACCATCTAAATTCAATGCGTGTTTGATACGACCACCGAATTAGAATTATTTATTATTATTATTTGAACACATAAATATTGGTACAGGGGGGCACCAAATATATAAGCGCCACACACCGAATTAGAATATGAAATACTGGTTAGTCTCCGAGTGATCATACCAACTAACAATGTTTCTAAATATTGACCTGGAAATCGTAAACTTTCTGGTTTGTTGTTATTAGTCGATTATTGAGGGCTTCAGTTGAGATTACTGGAACTTGATAACTTGTACAAACACACTGTCCTTTTACTCATATCTTTCTGGTTAATTCTGTTGACTAATAACGTTTTTCTTTGTGTCTATGCAAAGTGTAGCAACGTGAGTAAATATAGTGTTGGACTATGTTCTACCTTGTTCTATTCTGTTAATGCTCAAGAGCTCTACTCCCTTTTTTATACTATCCACTCGTGTTTAATCAAAATACTTAGATTTATGATTTTAAAGAACTCTTACAGACATAGACAAATAAAGGATTTACTTAAGGGATTATAAGTTATTGGTTTTATGGTTAGTAATAACAATAAGAGAACATCATCTTTTTTGGTCTGTAATTTTGCGTTGTTTATGTTTTAAGGGTTTTCTTTGAATAGGCGGGGATACTTAACTGATTTGATACCTGGTAACTGGAAACCCGTAAATCGGATAACGCAAGTAAAATACAAAGATCATAAATAAGAATATATTTTACGCCCAAGATAAATCAAAATGATATGTGATTACACCACTTTTCATATGATTTATTCACAGTTAGATTAACAGTCAGATTTGTATACTTTGACGAGTCATATCGACTAATCAAAAACTTACTATGTGAACACATATTTATGATATTATATTATTATTTATTTATTTATTTTAACACATAGGTATTGGTTCAAGGAGGCACCAAATACATATGCGCCACACGAATCTCAATTGATTTGTGTGAGGGCTGTGTTACTGCCCGGGTGCCCAAACCGAAACAGGTGGTTTTCTTAGGGGGCCACACCCCGAGCCTTCGACCTGAACGTCTGACCCACAAGGCAGTGGAGCATCGTAAGGAGATGCAGTCCCATGGTAGCCGGTGACCAACGATTGGTTCATACGCCATTTGTTCCTTCAGGCAGGATACTGGAGCCCATGTGCACCATTGGTTTGGGATCCGGTTAAAGCGCCGGACATTCGCTTTTCGTCCTCTCATTTTTGTAAACAACACCCCCGCCACGAGAAGGCAGTGAGTAGGACTTCCCTGTCAGGGGCTATATGCGCGTGGCCATGTGAGAGCATTTTGAGAGGGAGAGCGGACTCTCCCCACTCTCGGCCATACCAGGGCATTTGGGGGCTTATGATATTATACTGTTAAGCATCTCTAACCAGCAGATAGACCTAACAGACCAAGTTATACCATAACTTCTTTCTGGTGTGTAGTCACAGACGAATGGAAAAAAATTTTCGTGTATTACTTGCACTTTGATCAGTTGATTACTTGCTCATCATGTTGGCTGTCAATCCATCAGTAACCGTAAAGTGTATGAATACAACAACTTCAGTGTTACTTCTTGTGATCAGTCTTATTGGACCATGTTAAACACTCGAGTATTATTTTTTCTCAGTATATGAAGCCATTTTGACTTTGACTCATTAGTTTAATGGTTTGAATCCAGCTCCCCGTACCTTTGGTTTGGTCTGTTATGTAGTATCACTAGCCTTCACATTGGGAAGTTACTTGAAGACGAGCATGTAAATATGTGCTTGGCAAATGTGTTGCATTGATTACCATGATTTCATTGATATGAGCTCACTTTAATAATGTACTTGCAGTGTAGCTTGTATGTCAGGCTGTATATTTATTTAAACACTAAACCTAATATGGTTTTCTTGCGTAAATTATGTCATTCCATCTAATTTTATGGAGAATTGTAACCGTCTTCTTGAATGTAAAGGTAAATCTAACGGTTACATTCCTTTTATCTGAGCCTTTGGTAGAATGATCTCATATTTGTTACTGTGTTTATGGAAAACATTAGATATCAATCATATTTCTGAAGGCTTTAACAATTGAAGTGAGATAATTCTCAAATTTACTGTGAAGCCTCAAACTCGGCTGCTAGATGAATTTTTTGAACCAATGGTGCACATGGCTGCAGTATCCTGAGTCAGTCAATCAGCTGCAACGTAGGATCCGGTACATGTATGCATCGGTCCAAGTTGCTATATGGCGTATGAACCAATCGTTGGTCACCGGCTACCATGGGACTGCATCTCCTGAAGTTACTCCACTGACTTGTGGATCAGACCTTTAGGTCCAAGACTCAGGGGATGGCCCCCTAAGGGAACCACCTGCTTCGGTTTGGCCACCCGGAAGTACCACAGCTCACATACAAATCAAGTGACTTGTGTGGCACATATATATTCGGTGCCCCCTTTGTACCAATATTTATGTGTTCAAATAAATAAAGTAGTCGAAGATAGTTCATCAACTTTTATGTTTATTCTATGTATTTCCAGTGTTCTGTTTACTATATGGTATTTATATTTTTCCGTTTACAGCTAACTGGTGCTGATTCATGTGATTGCGAAGGTCAAGTTCGTGTACATATAAACTTACTCCGCCCTATTCAAATGTTACTTACAGCTAGACCAGCTTCCATTTTCGACGTAGTTGGTGCAAAAAGTGATGAAACAGATGACGATGATAATGAAGATGATGATGGGGAAGATGTTAGTGATCGATCTGAAGATGATCAGAATCTTTGGTTAGTCCAAAGTGACAACAATAATAACTGCAATCTTGTTTCAAAACAACACCCTTCTAATACACCACATTCCTTTGTATCATCCAACATTCCATATTTTTCACCAAATAATAAAGTTCATAAAGCTGATGGAAATATTGTTGAGTCACATCGTCGGTTAGGTAGAACAGCTTCAACAGTATCTACTTTTCGGTTACCAAGAGGAAGCACAAAGTTGTTGCATGTTCGACTGTAAGTTACTTCTGTTCTATGAGTGTAAAGTAGAAACGTAATATTTTGTTCTTGACATGTAATATATTCAATATGAGCTTACCGTGAGTATGCGAATCCTAGTTTCTGTTCCATATGAACTCGTGGGTATATACGGTTAAAGGGTTCCAAACTTAAATTAGGAGAATTGATTGCTTAATTCTCTATGGTTTGTCGAGTAGTGGCTTAGTGTTTAGGGCGTTTAAATTTCAACTATTAGGTGATCAGTTCAGATCCCTCTCCACCTACTTCGCTTATGCCAGCCAAGTAGTATCACTAGACCTTACACATAAAGTGTGGTGGAAAGATGAATACATACTAATCTGTACTTGGTAAATAAGTTCGTTCTACTCAGTTCATTTTGTACACAAATTTTACCAGAAATAAGTTATAAAATTTTAATGTGTATTTATACATTATTTTTTGACTTATTTATTGTCTATCAATTAATAAACATGACGAGTTTAAGTGACATTTTTAATTTAATTTTAAGGATTTCATTGTTTATCACTTTGATATACAAACTCATACTTCTTTTCTACTGATTTAGTGTAAAGTGATAATCAATATAATAGTTTTTTAGTGAAGAGCACTATTTCAATGATGATATATCGCATAGTTGTTAATTTGAAGTATATTTAATTTTCAATGGATTTTATTTAAAAGAGCTTTTCAATTGATAAATAGCTAAAATAGTTTGCACTTACAAGTTTAGTATGTTGATTATCTTTCTCTGTGTGTGAAGTACTGATGTGAATTGCTTTAAAAGAAAAATAAAGTGGTTTATTTTTTGTGCATTTATTTTATTCTATAGATCGACAACTGCACAAATGGTTATCTGTGCACTACTTGATCGATTCGGTATACGAGATAATCCTCAAAAATTTGCTTTATATGAACACACAATTGAAGGTGATCAGAAAGGTCAGTTATAACGATGTCATGTGATGTATTGTAATATTTTAATGTCTTTCTAAAATCATTAGATCATTAAAGTGTTGAAGCATATATTATGTTATTCATAGTGTGTGGGGTTGTAATTATGTATTAGCTTTTCACTTGGTTTTGTTTTGATATTATTCTTATTGCTGAGGGGGTAGGGATGAACACACAGTAGATCAGTAAAGTAAACACTCGCTACACTCGCACTGTTCATATTGTACTTGACAATTTTGTCTCAATTGTTTATTAACAAGAGGAGTTTCCCACATATTTAATATTGTACATGAAATTACATTGAATGGCTTTACTATATCACGATTTGGGTAAGGTCAGTGGATTTTAGCAGTAATCCAAGCACAGAGTGCTTATTGTGAAACCTAGAAATCCTGGATTCAGTGTGGGTCTTAAGCTTAAATTAGTTACTCCTATAGGTCCCAAAACCAGGAAATGACTAACCACACAGTGTTCTATAATTTTTAATCGTTCTCTATATCATATTATTTCTTAATAACAACATTTTGCAAATTAATTCACTTACTCCAGAGTTTAGATAAATAGCGTATAAACGTACTTTCTTAAATTTTCTATTAATAGATTAAATATGAAATGGAATAAATGGACCTATGTGTGTTTTCAGTCAGTCTCAGGAGTAATATCTTTGGAACTATTATATCACAGCAGTGCTAGGTTACTTACAAAGATTGTAAAAAATTTCATTTATCAGCTAACGAAATTGAGTCGTGGCCTTTAGGCTTTGTTTTAAATTTCCTATTCCAGTTTTCGATCCGGAATCATCATAAAAATTAGTTCCACAAGGTAGCTAGGTTTATCTTGGGTTTTAATAGACCGCAGAAAAAAATTGATGTATAGGATTTCAAACTGAGAAATTCGAACCCGCAGCCTAATATTTGGAAGTTACCGCTACTCTGACCAAAGTATAGACTAACTCTGACTTATCTAAAAATTCTAATCAATGAAAATTCTAACGAGCTGTTAGATTGTTAACCTGTTAAATAGGATCTATAGTTTAAATTTTAACTGCACCAATCGTTTTTATTGCTTCTACGAACAGTGCTTAGCTAACTGTTGTTCATTTTCTTTCAAATCCAGTGTATTTTTCATGATAATGTTTGTTTATGTATCCGTGTGTCTGCTGAGTGAAAGTTATTATCATAATCCATGTTTATGGCATAGATTATTGTGTAAAATATCACTTCTGTTTGACACTTCAATTCCATATTTGTCTAATAACCTTTAAATTATATGCAAAAGGCAACCATTTAGCTTGTTACAATTGATTACCGGAAGCTTAAATTGTTACATAACTTTGCTCTTCATATGTATATTTATGCGTGAACTCATAATATTTTACAAGTGTTACTTTTACTAGATTAACGTACGTGATCCATATTTTCTTTTTGTTTGACCTTATAAACATTCAAATTAGGTTTATAGGTTACAATTACCATTTGACTCTGTCTAGCATTGAAAAATAGTGAACAGAATGTCGAGTTACCTAGACTAATGACCACATTAAAACTTGGTCGATCGACTTTAATCTTCACGAAGGGTTAAAGAAGCATAATATTGTTGATTACTCGGTGATCAATTAGTGTATCCATGTTACCTGCTTATCTCTTGGCTTATAGTAATTATCCCGACCGTAGCTGCTGCATTGACGTGGTTGTCGGGCTTGCCTATCGTGATGACCCAACCGAGCTATATTGGCTGGAACACATGTTCCTGTAGGTTCTACCATGCCAGACAGGTCGATTGGAGAACGATAAGACTAAAAGCAGCAACTCAAGGTCTGAGGGCGAAGTCGTACTGCTGACTGTACAGAGGTGTGACAGCAGCAAGGTGTTTTCCTCGGACAACCAGCATCTGCAGCGATGCTGCCTTCTCACAAGGAAGGAAGGGGTTAGAAAAGGTTGACCCTAAAAATGTCACACCTCACCTTACCCAACGGATTTCCGTCTCCGGCGGTAAGGCCCTTTGAAGAACGGAGCTAACACATTAAAAACCTCCCACAAAAAGGCCGTGCGCGACCGGCCTCAAGCAGTTGTTCCTTGGGCTCTGCGGTCATGCACCCAGGTCGTTAAGACCAACGCTAATCTGATTTCCTTTTCAGGTTCCTCAAGAAATACCCTTCCACAGTGTGGGCAACCGGGAAGTGACATCAGGCCTCATACCCGTAACAGCATACGAGACCACGTTGGTCACATTCAAATCCTTCCTACTCGTCTTAATAACTCTCTTATCTCTACGACTAACCCTTCTTACGTCCCTTTATCACCTCGCCCCACTAGTGCAAACGATTCGAGTACGCGGAACGTTATTCCTGGTCTCCTGAAACCAAGCTCTAAACTACACGTAGGACCTTTCAACGTCCGAACATTGTGCCAAATAGGACAACAGGCTTCCTTAACTAAGACTTTAGTATCTCGCTCCATCGATGTGTGCTGCGTCTCCGAAACGCGCATACAGGATCCGAGTAGTGTCATTCATTTGACCTCACCATGTCAAAGTAACGAACCAACTCGATTCACGCTTCGTGTGTAGTGTGTGCTACTTGTGTAGACATAAGTAGTTTATGATGTCTGGCAACAGAGAGACAAGAAGATCGAACAGTAAAGAATGAATACAGAAAGCAATTTGTATGAAAATGCAAGAACAATGAAATCTGATTCATTTTGAGGCAATTGATGGACATTTTGCAAATTGTTCATTTACTTTATGATTGTTAGATTTTATTAATAAGTTCTGTAGTTTTTTGTCAATTACATTTGATTGTTCCCCACCCGTGTTCTGTTCACTACACGTGTATTCGAAAGCCCTGATGCTGCTTACTGTGGTCTCGCTGGCCTAGGTATAGTCCTAGGGAAAAACTAGCTATCTTAGACTGGATACCAGTAGACAGTCGTTTGTGCGCTGTCCGACTAAACGGAACAGTAAGGACTCGGAAAGATAGGGACATTCCTCGTTGCCTCTTCGTCGCCTCTGCCTAATCTCCCACTAACTGCAGCTCAGATAATGTGGAAGATGAGTTTTACCGAAAGCTTTCCGACTTTTGGTAGGTGTAGGCTACCTGGTTGGGGACCGCGAGACGATAGCAACCGATGGTTACAGACCTTGAATGACATGGCTCAAAATAGTTTGCAATGGCGCAGGTGCATCCACTCTTTGTGTTCTCTCAAACTCTAATCTTCTGAATTCTTCATGTCCTTTATTTTCGTTCCCAATTTATTCCACTGGATTATATTCCTGAAATAACATCATCAAACCCTAATGTTCCCTATTACTAATAATTTCACTACTTCTACCACTATGGGATTTGAATCGATAACTAAATCACTGTGCTAATGTGGTATGGCAACTCGAACTGATGTACGTACGTACGAAGTCCTTTGTTGTTAAACTAATCCGAACTCATTGCTGCATCGATTTCGGTTTAGATGATTGAGTAGTTTGATTAGCTTTCGGACAGTGTGTGTAGTCCCCAAACTGCTTGCATTAAACCTTTTCTCATATTAGTTTCTTCTCTTTCAATCAAATTTCCATTGAGCATTAACTATTTCCGCTCTTCAAAGATTATAAATTTAATTGAGGACAGTTTTATATTACATTAAACTTTTCTTTTATCCTTTAGTTTCTGTACGAAAATTATTTGACAATGAATCACCGTTGGGATTACTATTCAAGTGGGTTGATCAAGATCCCAATAATTTTAACAACATTCTGAGTGTGAAGCGATTAGTATTACAAGAGAATGAAACTGGTGATATTGAAGTAAGTTATTTATTACTTGTGTGTTACTAATCATCTTGCTTATTCACGCCTGTTACCCACCCCTCGTGTGAGTACAGGCTGTCGACCAGGGTTTCTCTGGTTAGTGTTTTTTTTCAGCAATGTTGTTTTCTAAGGGATGGAGTTACTGACCCCATGCCCGACACTCCTACATTATCCGGGCTTGGGACCGATGGTGACCCTAGATGGGTTACAGGCGAGGCTTACCAATCATCTAAAAAGGACAAATAATCAGTATCCATAGCATATGTACCTACGAGACATCACTACCTCAGTGGTTACAGAACACGATGATTAACTGCTTCGTCTCACATAGATGTATTTTATTAATCAGCTGATTTGGACAATTTGAATAAATTTGATTCTAAGCCTATTACTTAGTAAATGTTTATTTTATTATTTTATTTTATTTGAACACATAAATATTGGTACAGGAGGGCACCAAATATACATGCGCCACACAAAACAATGATAATTTGAAGAGAAGGAGAAAAAAAAATATATATATAAAATAATGAACGTGGGGAATTATAAAAAAAAAAGAGGGAGAGAACAATGATGGGGAAAACGGAAAGGTACAATCAGAAGAAATCTTTCAGTTAAGGAAGATACAACCACTTTTTATGAAGAAAGTAAAAGAAGGTTACAGCACGATCGCCACTGGCTTCTATTCTGAGCCATATCTGATGACGTCTCTAGCCACTGCGTTACACCGTCTCTCGGACCCCAGCCAGGGAGTCGTGAAGGATCAACAGAAGCTAGCCCTTTGCAGCTTTCTTTCATACCACGACACCATGTCATATACTGACCACCTCTCCGCTTTTTCCAACCAGTCCCAGAGTCGGCAAATAATGCACGACGAGAAATTCTGTGGGACGACATTCGTAGAACATGTCCAAGCCACCGAAGTCGGTGTTTCACATCACGAAGGCGCCAAAGGTGGCCCAGATTGGCATAAGGCGCTCTGGATTTCACTATACGTGCATTGATTTCATCACTCACACCACCACCAGCACTTATGCAGCTACCTAGATACACGAACTTCTCGACCACTCCTATCTTCTCACCGTCCAGAGTGAGTACAGGATTAGAATCCTGCCAGTCTTGTAGAAGTACTTTGCACTTCGAAGGTGCAAAGCACATACCATACCTACGGACATTGATTGCCAACTGATTAAGTGCGGATTGCATGGCTTGGGTATTCTCGCACAGTAACACAATATCATCCGCATACTCAAGGTCGAGAAGTCTTTCTCCAGGCAACAAATCAACACTGCCATTACTTACATCCATCAGAGGTGTTTCCAGAATGTCATCGATGGCAAAGTTGAAGAGGAATACTGAGAATGGGCAACCCTGCCTAACTCCACTGCTTGAATGGAATAGTGGAGAAAGGTGGTTGTATGCCCTCACTCTGCCTGAGGTGTTTGTGTATAGGGCTTTTAGGATGTTAATAAACTTCTCAGGCACACCCTTCTTCAATAGACAATCCTAGAGAACAGTTCTGTCCAACGAATCGAAGGCAGCCCTGATATCAAGAAACACTACGATTGTTGGCCTTTGATAAGTATGGCGGTGTTCTAACATTTGGCGGAAGGTGAAGATATAATTAATACATCCTCGACCAGAACGAAACCCAGCCTGCTCCTCGCAAGTCAATCTTTCTACGAAGTATGACGGAAGCCAATAGCTTGGACGCGATCGGAAGTAGACTTATCCCCCGATAGTTGTTACAGGAACGACGTGAACCCTTTTTAAAGATAGGAACAACTATCGACTCATTCCATGACGTTGGTACACACTCTAGTTCCCAGACCTTTGTAAACAACGTCGTCAGTCCCTTAGTCAGAAAGTCACCACCATCTTTAAAAAGAGCCGGAGGTAAGTCGTCTGGGCCTGGTGATTTTTAACGTTTCAAGAGTTGGAGTTCCTTGCGGACTTCCGCCTCATTTGGTGGATCAGTCGTCACCGGCCATGGAGGGCAGGACAGTCTGACCGATGTTGCCGGAGCAGCAGGCCAGTTGAACTGCCCTTCGAAGAATTCTGCCCATCGTCCAAGACGTCGATGGATGTTAGTGATTGGCGTTCCGTCATCCTCGCAGATTGTTTCGCTCAGACCAGACTTCTTGCTGCCAGTGGCTCGGGTGAGTTGGAAGAGCTTCCGGTAATTACCAGATGCAGCTGCTGTTTCCGGCTCATTAGCACGCTCCGACCACCAGGCTTCACGGAACTTACGCAAGCTTTGCCCGATTTCATTACGTAACATCCTTCGTCTGTGGTCAAACTCACGGTCACCCGGAGTAGACCGACGGGCTTCAATCAGTTGTAAGGAACCAGAAGAAACCCAGTGTTTATAAGCGGGACGTTTTGCGAACCCACAACAGACTTGACCCGCCATTTTCATGGCGTCATGCAATTGCAACCAATGCTCATCTATACTTTTCGGTGGAATGGTAGCTAGCCTAGAAGCTAGCTCGGTTCGATACTTAGTTGCGACAGAAGTTGCAGCCAGCTTGCTAACATCAATCCTTTGGTGGCGGTCACTTCGTTGCCCACTGAAAACTAAGGTGAGATTGGCGCAGACCAGAGCATGGCTAGATTCCAGATAGGTACTCCAAAAGGAGCGGCAGTGTTGTACACAACCACGCCAGCGGTAGCTGATCGCGATGTGATCAATCTGGGTCCAGGCTTGAGATGCAGAAGGGGGACGCCAGGTGGCACATCGGCGATGACTGTGCCGAAAGTTAGTGCTAGCCAGAAACAGGTTGTGGTCTGTGCATAGTTGCAGTAGACGTTCCCCGTTATCTGTCCTGCGACCAACAAGTCTCCATCGGCCACCTAAACGACTCTCTTCTGTGCCTAGACGCCCGACCTGAGCATTCAAGTCTCCAGCTAGTACTACAATATCTGTCGAGCGCACTTTCTGGAGAAGAACAGTTAACTGGTGGTAGAACTCATTCTTGATTGCATCCGGGCTGCAATCTGTCTGGGCATAGGCGGAGATGACGAAAAGACATCGTTTCTCACACCGATTTCTCCTCATTTTAATGAAACTTTCTAATCTAACAGCACATAACCGACTGTTAATGGGGATCCAGTCGACTAGTGCTGCCTCAGCTCTAGCGCTTAGTGTGACACCAACGCCAGCAAGACCAGACGAAGATGCCACAGGGTCCCCGGATAAACGCACATAAAACAAGCTTTTTGAAGCGACAGATGGAGAGCGAACTTGTAGTACTTCACCAGAGTCTTGAATACGGGTCTCGGATAGACAACACACATCAATATTAAGACTTTCCAAAGACATAGCCAGCCCTATCTGTTGTCCGACCTGCATAAGTGTGTGAACGTTGAAGGCAGCCAGTTTGAATGGTGCGCGTGGTTTCAGAAAAACTGCTTCAGTACTCATATTCGGTGGTAACATACAATTTTCAACCAGACAGTGACTGGAGAACGTTTAGATAGAGCCGAATTTCCACCATAGGCGAGCTGCTGTCTAGGTCGAAACGGATACATAAAGTAGGTATAAGAGAGAGTGATAAAATGACGTGGTAAAATTATAATAATAATAATAATAATAATAATAATAATAATAGTACGAGTCATTTCAATGTTAATCAGAGAGAAAGGAATATTTTCCATAAGCAAATAGTTCATCATGATTTTAGTGCGTGGGCTGAGATACTGCCCGGGTGCCCAAACCGAAGCAGGTGGTTTTCTTAGGGGGCCACACCCCGAGCCTTTGACCTAAAGGTCTAGTCCACAAGGTAGTGGAGCATCGTGAGGAGATGCAGTCCCATGGAAGCCGGTGACCAAAAGTTGGTTCATACGACATTTGTTCCCGCAGGATACTGGAGCCCATGTGCACCATTGAATTGGGATCCGGTTATAGCGCCGGACATTCGCTTTTCGTCCTCTCATTTTTGTAAACAACACCCCCGCCACGAGAAGGCAGTGAGTAGGACTTCGCTGGCAGAGGCTGTATACGCATGGCCGTGTGAGAGTATTTCGAGAGGGAGGGCGAACCCTCCCCACTCTCGGCCATACCAGGGCATTTGGGGGCATAGTAAATGTTTATCGAATCATATTTAGTTTACAAGCTGTTTTAGTGTTTATAGATTGATTAGGTTTTTTTAAAATGGGATTTATAAACTTTTGGGATAAATGTGCTTGTTATCAGACTATCATTGTATTGTTTTTACGAGACAATTAAAAGCATAAAATTTTCTTTTGTTTGTGGATAGATATATTGTACTCGTTGCATTCAAATACTTAGAACTTTTGTGTAAAAAGTATCTGGATTTAATTTTTAACTGATAACTTGAAATTCAGGTATAAGTTCTCTAATATCTTTGAGGTGATGATGAATGAAAATGTGAATAGTGTAGGAAGATAATATTTCCCCTGAAGTGTTTCATTAGATACTATTTTCTGGTCGGTTTTTGAACCAAGGTTTGTAGTCGGAACTGGACAAGAAAATACTGCATTCTCATATGCAAATGTATACTTACGCCTGTTACTCCTCGTGAAGGAGCATAGGCCGCTCACCAGCATTCTCCATCCAACCCTGTCCTGGGCAATCCTTTCCAGTTCTTATTCATCCCTTTCATATCCGCTTCTATTTCCCGACGTAATGTGTTCTTTGGCCTTCCTCTTTTCCGCTTCCTTTCAGGATTCCAAGTTAGCGCTTGTCTCGTAATGCAGTTTGATGATTTCCTCAATGTATGTCCTATCCATTTCCATCGTCTTTTCCTAATTTCCTCTTCAGCTGGGAGCTGGTTGGTTCTCTCCCACAAAAGGCTGTTGCTGATGGTATCCGGCCAATAGATGTTGAGTATCATGCGTAGACAGCTATCGATAAATACTTGTACCTTCTTGATGGTGGTTGTTGTAGTTCTCCAAGTTTCAGCTCCGTACAGTAGAACTGCATGCAAATGTATACTATGGTAGAATTGCTAATAGAACGTATTATCTAAGTACACCTCTAAATACTCTTTTTCAAGCCATACTTTTCACATGGAAGTTAGTGTTACCATAAGTTCTCCCAAGCCCAAGTGAAATATGGAACTTAGTAACTGGAAGTTGCGTGCCTTAACCTATTGACCATATCTCCACCAAGGTTTGAAGTATTATGTAACTTCTCTACCAAGTAGGTAGCTATGTACTTTGTCTTGAGTCACGCTACTCATCTCACTGCCACTGATATTACTTACCCGATACATAAATAGGTGGAGCTTAATTTAAACCCGCAACTTGCTGATTGAAAGCTCTGGTTGATACTAGAGTCTTTGGTGACACATTAGTTATCATTTTAAGCATAATATCAAGAAAACTGTAGCTAAATATTTCACCGCCACTAATCTCAAGTTAGTATACAGTTCCATCAAGTTTTTTATACGATTTCATCTTTACTAAGAAGGGATATTGAACTCAACTAATCATAGTATATATATTACAAGATAATGCGTCTACTTTGTTTTTTTCCATTCTTAGTGGACCACATTTAGTTTATCGGAATTGCATACATTTTTGGGGATATTGAATCGTGAAGAAAGTGATTATCGTAGACGTATTGAAATGAAATATGAAATACGCAGGAAAGAAATAAAACGTTTAATGGAACTACATAATAATAAATTTAAATCTTTAGACAAGTCATTCAATTGTCAATTTAATTCTGTTCCTTCGAATGTAACCACTGTAATTGCTGAACGATATGAAAATGAAGCGATAACTAAACAATCATGCGATGAAAATTCGGAATTTAATGCCTATTCTTGTATGGATTCATTGTCTGCACCGGTTTCGCCAACATTATTTCGTAAATCGAACAAACAGATAAATTTAAACGGTTAGATTCAATTAAATTTCTTATGTTTAATGTTTACTAGTAACCTATTTGATTAAATTTGCTTTACTGAGTAGTATATCTACTTCATATTAAACGTGGAATTATTTATTCTTACCGCCAAAAAAGATTTCCTAGTTAAGAAAGATTACCAACGACAAACAGGTGTATTATACATCATTGAGATTGTATATCATAATACCTGCTTCGGTTTGGGCACCCGGGCAGTATCACAGCCCTCACACATATCAAATGAGATCTGTGTGGCGCATATGTATTTGGTGCCTTCTTGTACCGATATCTATGTGTTAAAATAAAAATAAAAAAATATATCATAATAAGGGTATGATTATTGGCTTGTTTTAATAATAATAATAATCAGTCAGTCAGTCAGTAACAACGTGGAACTTCGTACGTACGTACATCAGTTCGAGTTGCCATACCACATTAGCACAGAGATTCAGTTATCGATTCAAATCCCATAGTGGTAGAGGTACTGAAAGTATAAGTAGAGATAGGGGACATTAAGGTTTGATGATGTTATTAAAGGAGTATAGTCCAGTGGAATAAATTGGGAACGAAAATAAAGGACATTTAGAATTCAGAAGATTAGAGTTTGAGAGAACACAAAGAGTGGATGCACCTGCGCCATTGCAAACTATTTTGAGCCATGTCATTCAAGGTCTGTAACCATCGGTTGCTATCGTCTCGCGGTCCCCAACCAGGTATTCTACACCTAGCAACATGGCTCAGTCAACTTGTCAGTGACTTCATGGATTTGTGCCATGTTTTGGTCTGGCCGCCCTTAGCTTTCTCCCAACCTACTTCTACACCATAAAACATAGCACGTCGGGGCAGTCGGTGGTCGGGCATGCGCAGCACATGTCCCAGCCATCTCAACTGATTAAGTTTCACTACTTCCTCAATTGATTTGCCATCCTTACCTAGTATCCGTTTCATAACAACTGCATTACTTACTCGGTGGTCCCAGGATATACGAGCGATGTTTCGAAGACACTTATGGTCAAATACTAGTAACCTACGAATATCCTCTACTCTTACTGGCCATGTTTCACTGCCATAAAGTAGGACGGAACGAACTGCTGCGCAGTAAACACGTCCTTTGGTTGATAGACGGATATCTCGCCTACGCCACAAATGACGCAATTTGGCAAAAGCTAGTCGAGCCTTTTGTATCCGTGCTAAGATTTCGTCACACACCAAACCACAAGGGCTGATGAGACTTCCGAGATAAGGGAAGCGGTCGACACGCTCAACTACTTTACTCCCTATCACTAGTTCGGGTGTCGACGCAACCCAATCCTGAAGCAACATTTTGCATTTCGAGGGAGAAAATCGCATGCCGAACATGCTTGCATTGTTGCTTAGAGTGGTCAGCAGACTCTGCATTCTGTCAGCGTCTTCACCAAATAGAACTATATCATCGGCATATTCTAAGTCAACAAGTGGATCTCCCGGTAGAAGTTCAACTCCTGGGAATTTAGATGAGGAAAGTGTCATCTGTAAAAGCACGTCAACAACAAAGTTCAACAAGAATGGAGAGAGTGGACAGCCCTGACGAACACCACTTGAGGTAATCAATTCTGATGACAGTTCACCATAAGCTCTCACTCGACCAGTTGTGTTCGAGTAGAGAGCCTTTATAAGGTTGACGTACTTCTTTGGTACTCCCTTCAGTGACAAACATTGCCATAGAACCTTACGATCAACAGAGTCAAATGCCGCCTTAAGGTCGAGAAATACTACCATTGTGGGACGTCTGAATGTGTGTCTATGTTCTAGGACCTGACGTAATGTGAATATTTGATCAATGCAACCACGTCCAGGTCGAAAACCAGCCTGGTTTTCTCTAGTCTGCTTTTCACGAGCTTTGGTTAGACGTCGAAGTATTATTGAAGCTAATATTTTAGACACTATATTAGTCAAACTAATTCCTCTGTGATTGTCACAGGAGGACTTTTGTCCTTTCTTATAGACTGGTACAATCAGTGATTGAGACCAGTCAGATGGGATTACGTCCAGTTCCCAGATTCTACCTAAGACCTCAGTCAATCTCGCTGCTAATACTGGACCGCCATCCTTAAAAATCTCAGGGGTAAACCTGTCAGGGCCTGCTGCTCTCCCACGCTTCAGATTTCCTATAGCTTTTCTAACTTCATAAAGAGTCGGAGGACTTACATCAACTTGCCATTCAGGTAGATTGGAGATCGTGGTAAACCGAAGTGTGGCTGAAGGCCAGTTGAACTGATCCCAAAGTGTTCTGCCCATCGATCCAATCTCTTGGATTGAGAATGAATAATATGTCCATCTTTTTCGGAGATAGTTTCGCTAACAGTTTGGTTCCTAATACCGGTTCCCTTAACAAGTCTGAACAGTTGCCTGCTGTTACCTATTGCCGCTGCCTTTTCCATCTCTCTTGCTTTCGCTACCCACCACTGTTCACGATCATTGCGTAGGCTTCTAGTCAGCTTACGCTTAAGCTGACTCCGCTCTTCGTTATGTTCAGAGCCAGATGGAATGAGTTTTCGAGCATCTATCAGTGCGGTAGATGCAGCTGAGATCCAGTGTTTCTCCCTAACCTTATGATTTACCGTACTTGCAGACATCACTGCTGTTTCTACAGCTTTTCGGGTGTCATTCCACACTGCCTCGGGGTGGGCGTCACTTACATGGCTGCCTAACTGTTTTTGTAGTTGTTCCTGAAATATACTCTTAGCTTGACTATCATTTAGTAGGACCCTAAGGGGTTTCCTTGCAGCATGTTTCCTACGTCCAGTAAGACGTAGACAAATACGCGCTCGCACTAGAGCATGATCTGAGTCTGAGCATGTGCTCCAGAATGAGCGACAGTTTTCTATCGAGCCCCTCCATCGGTGGCTGATTGCGATGTGATCTATTTGGGTCCAGCGTTGAGACGAATTAGGGGGTCGCCATGTTATAAGATGTTTTTCCTTATGCCTAAAGTTAGTGTTTGCACGAAACAGGCGGTTATCTGAGCATAGCTGCAACAGACGGTCGCCGTTATCTGTTCTTTGAACAGCGACACCATAAGATCCACCCAGGTGTCTTTCCTTTTTGCTTAGTTTACCTACTTGAGCATTAAAGTCATCAGGCATTTTTACTACATCTGAACGCCTAGCTTTTCGGAGAAGGTCGGAAAGCTTTCTGTAAAACTCATCTTTTACATCATCTGAGCTGCAGTCAGTGGGAGAGTAGGCACAGACGATGAAGAGGCAACGACGAGTGTCCCTATCTTCTCGAGTCCTTACTGTTCCGTTTAGTCGGACAGCACACAAACGACTGTCTACTGGTATCCAGTCTAAGAGAGCTAGTTCTGCCCTAGGACTCAATGCTATACCTACGCCAGCGAGGCCACGGGAAGCAGCATCAGGGCTTCCAGATACACGAAGCGTAAATCGAGTTGGTTCGTTACTTTGACATGGTGAGGTCAAATGAATGACACTACTCGGATCCTGTATGCGCGTTTCGGAGACGCAGCACACATCGATGGAGCGAGATTCTAAAGTCTTAGCTAAGGAAGCCTGTTGTCCTATTTGGCACAATGTTCGGACGTTGAAAGCTCCTACGTGTAGTTTGGAGCGTGGTTTCAGGAGACCAGGAATAACGTTCCGCGTACTCGAATCGTTTGCACTAGTGGGGCGAGGTGATAAAGGGACGTAAGAAGGGTTAGTCGTGGAGATAAGAGAGTTATTAAGACGAGTAGGAAGGATTTGAATGTGACCAACTTGGTCTCGTGTGCTGTTACGGGTATGAGGCCTGATGTCACTTCCCGGTTGCCCACACTGTGGAAGGGTATTTCTTGAGGAACCTGAAAAGGAAATCAGATTAGCGTTGGTCTTAACGACCTGGGTGCATGACCGCAGAGCCCAAGGAACAACTGCTTGAGGCCGGTCGCGCACGGCCTTTTTGTGGGAGGTTTTTAATGTGTTAGCTCCGTTCTTCAAAGGGCCTTACCGCCGGAGACGGAAATCCGTTGGGTAAGGTGAGGTGTGACATTTTTAGGGTCAACCTTTTCTAACCCCTTCCTTCCTTGTGAGAAGGCAGCATCGCTGCAGATGCTGGTTGTCCGAGGAAAACACCTTGCTGCTGTCACACCTCTGTACAGTCAGCAGTACGACTTCGCCCTCAGACCTTGAGTTGCTGCTTTTAGTCTTATCGTTCTCCAATCGACCTGTCTGGCATGGTAGAACCTACAGGAACATGTGTTCCAGCCAATATAGCTCGGTTGGGTCATCACGATAGGCAAGCCCGACAACCACGTCAATGCAGCAGCTACGGTCGGGTAATAATAATAATAATAATAATAATAATAATAATAATAATAATAATAATAATAATAATAATAATAATAGACGTATCCAGTACCATAAGATTTGTTACTGTAAAGAATTTTCAGCACCAACTGTGCAATATTGCAAAAGATTTTGGTGTAACATACATTCAGATTTTAATGACTGAAAAACATTTTTGGGGAGTATTTGCAACAGTGTTCATTACATTATTTGCAGTCATAAAAATAGGTGACTCAAACCGCACAATTACTCAATTGGAAAGTAATCGGAAAACAGTAGGATGAAATTTGTCTAAATAATAATAATAATAATTAATACTCAGAAATAGCAGAAGACGACTAATTTGAGTATGAATACGCATTGACGGCTTCCATGTTCATAATTCTTGTCAATGATTTCGTTAATATACAAGTACATTACTTTGATTATGAAATCTGTTAATTGATAAAAATGTATGCCGTACAGAATAATAATCATAATAATATTGTCTACGACAGTTTTCATTTTAACTATAACGAGAATATCCATGTGAACTTTCAAACAATGCATTTTTGTATGGCTGTAACTGTGTTGATGATAATGAACGATAGCGAAATTTTTTTAGCGCTTTTTCGCTTGAAAGTATTCATTTAATCGAATCGTTTAATCAAGATCAAATCAATGTATTAT